CTGCTTATGAGACCCATTTGCACTGCAGTGCAGTTATTAGGACAGCGCCATTTCTACTCTGCAGACTGTCAGGGCCCCGTCCTTATCGGCTGAGATCTAGCTTGATAAGAGGCAGCCGAGAACGAACTGAAAACTTAAAGGGATTTGGTATCATCAAAATGTAGCATATAAATGTGATGCCAATATTTATTCCTGGGCTTTATTACTGATAAAAACAGCTTGCTAAAAAGAAAGTCCCCTCAAGTCACTTTCTGTGTCTGCCAAGTGATGCTGAATCTAATCTTTGAAAAGTCTTTTCACTTGCATATTACTGTCGTATTCCAATCTTGTCATTGTGAGAGTAGATTGTGTTTATGGTGGTTTGTTTGTAACACAGCCATTGCTTACCTGAAGACTGCACCTTAAGGTATATTGCCATTAAATGAAATCCTAGTGTCTAGACACTGTTGCCATTATGGATACAGATCTCATGAGAAATTGTTTAATGAGCAGAGAAAGGTGATGAAAACTGATGAATAGGTATTTTGAGGCTCAGTCAGGCGGGCAGAGGAGGGAGAGTGCAAAGTAACAAAAAGTGAACTTCACTAATTCCTGATCAAATGTCTACTTTCGATAAATGGTGGAACAGGTGCTTAGATGCTTTGTAACGTGGGTGATGTAGGCTTCTAAATAAGTAAGCAAGTCCTTCTTCAAACATGACCTTGATTTATTTTGATCTTGTTTGTATAAGGGAGTGTTCATCTTTTGTACTGAAAATGCCCAGTACATAGTAGGTGTTCAATAAAGGCTTTTTGAATTGAAATCATGAAATCCTTTACAATCTTTAACTTTTTCATGAAGGACCATTCACATTTTTTAACTCATGTTTAGAAACTTATATGCTTTTATGGCTTTGTCTTTAAGGAATAGAATCCAAATTCCTATACAATTATGTGAGAAATTCACGAGTATGATGTAATTTGAAATTTCAGTATATATCCAAGAATCTGGTTTCTAAAATTATAATTGTCTAGATTTACTGTAATGGTTGGAAGAAACTAAGATACTAGAACTTTTTCTTTAGTTGCTTTGGATATGCAAAATGATAGCCCAAATAATGAAAGCAGGCAAATAAAGCTCAGAGTAATAATATGAGTTAACTTTTATAGCTTATTTTTTCTAGGCCTCACACTGTGATAAGTGCTTTGCAAATAGCTTATTTAAACCTCATAATAACAGTTTAGGGTAGTTACAACAATTCTGTCTGATTTACAGGTGAGGAAACTGATGCTTACAGAGGTTAAGTAATGCACCCAGGTTCAGGTCACTGATCAGTGGGGCAGCTGACATTCAAACGTAGGCATCCCAGCTCCAGGCCAAATACTCTTAACCACCGTGCATATTGCATGGGCAAAATCAAATGAAAACACAAGTCAGGTACATGGAATGATAATGAAAGTGTTGTTGTTGTGGTTAAGTGTCACCGAGTTGGTTCCAACTCGTAGTGAACCTATGTACAACAGAATGAAACATTGCTTGGTCCTGTGCCATCCTCAAAATCATTGTTATGCTTGAGCCCATTGTGACAGCCACTGTGTCAATCCATTTCATTGAAGGTCTTTTTGATGACCCTCTACTTTACCAACCATGAAGTCCTTCTCCAGGGACTGGTCCCTCCTGATAACATGTCCAAAGTGCATGAGACAAAGTCTTGCCATCCTTCCTTCTAATAAGCTTTCTTTGCTGTACTTCTTAATTAAAGTGTTTGGTCACATTATTTCAAAGATCCAGGTTTTTGAAAATAAGAAACAAGAAGTTTAACAATGATAATTAAATTTTAAGTTACTCTTCCCTGAGAGAAAACGTGTAACATAAATACAGTTTTACATCATTTAAGAAATTGTCTGATTCAAGATTGTAACCTCAGGAAAAAAAGGGCTAAAGTTGATCACATGCTCGTAAGCAGTTCTTTGCTGAAACATACATTTGCTAAATGGTGGCCTTTTTTTCAATCCCTTCTCTTTCTTCTATCTTTCTAACTATTGCCATAGGGGCCTTGGCGACTCAGTTTTTAAGAGCTTGACTGCTAACCAAAAGGTTGGCAGTTTGAATCCACCAGCTGCTCCTTGGAAACGCTATAGGGCAGTTCTACTCTGTCCTATAGGGTCTCTATAAGTCAGAATCATTTATTTTTTAAAACCATTGCCATAATTTAACATCTCTTACTTTCACTATCACAGCAGCCTCCAAATGATCTTTTCATAGCACTAGTTTGTTTGCCATACTCTTGCCAGAGATATCTTCACATACACCACACACACACACACACACACACACACACACACACACACACACTATAATATAATGTTTTTCCTTATTAAGAACAGTAAGTTTGTTCTGAATCTTAATTTGGGCTATAGAACCCACTGATCATCAGTGAAAATTATGGAACCTTTCCCAGTAAGATATACTTTATACATATCACTTATATATTTTCTGGCATTTTTTAAAAGGGGTTTCAAGAATTTGTCTTCAGTTTGTCTTCTCACCTTATATGCCATGATTTTTGTCATCAAATACTCTGTACTCTGGCTCCATTAAAAAAACAAAAACCAAACCCATTGCTGTTGAATCAGTTCCAACTCACAGGGACCCTATAGCATAGAGTACAACTGTCCCATAGGGTTTCCAACGAGTGGCTGATGGATTTGCACTGCTGACCTTTTGGTTAGCAGCCAAGCTCTTAACCACTGTGCCACCAAGGCTCCAGCTCCATTAAACTTCTTATTTCTCATGCTTGGAATGTTCTCCAGGTCCTCTTCTCTTCTTAACAATCTTTTAATCAACTGAAGTCTTATGCTGAAATAAAGGAAGACCTTATAATGTGGCTGTCACAGACAGCCCAGGATTCAAACCTACTTATATAAGCTTGGGGATATTACTTAGCTGATTAGAATTTCTATTTCATCACCCATAAAATGAGGGTGGTAACATATTTATTTTACAGAGTTTTTGTAAAGATCAAATGAGTGTAAAGGGCAGGGTACTCAGTAAATACACGTTTCTATCTTCAGTCAAGATGTCACCTTGAGGACTAAGGTAAGCATGACCCAAGCCATGGTATTTTCAATCACCTCATATGCATGTGAAAGCTGGACAATGAATAAAGAAGACTGAAGAAGAATTGATGCGTTTGAATTATGGTGTTGGCAAAGAATACTGAATATACCATGGACTGCCAGAAGAACAAAGAAAACTGTCTTGGAAGAAGTACAGCCAAAATACTTCTTAGAAGAGAAGATGGGGAGATTTTGTCTCATGTACTTTGGACATGTTATCAGGAGGGACCAGTCCCTGGGGGACATCACACTTGGTAGAGGAAGACCCTCAATGAGATGGATTGACACAGTGGCTGCAACAATGGGCTTAAACATAGCAAAGATTGTGAGGATGGCACAGGACCAGGCAGTGTTTCGTTCTGTTGTACACAGCGTCGTATGTACAACATTGAGTCACTATGTGCAATACAGGGTAGCTATAAGTTGGAACTGACTGGTCAGCATCCAGCAACACCAATAATCTTCAATCTCAGATCAGTTACCACCTTCGCTATGATTCCTGACTTGACCCCTCACCCCTCATCACCCACCCTCTACCCCAGCTAGTTGATTTCAGGTTTTCTGTCTGTTCGCCCACAGCACCCAGAGGAGTTACCTCTAAAATTGTAGCATTACTTGGCATTTATCTGTTTCTTGTCTGTTTATCAATATCTATACCAGTAGTTCTTAACCCAGGCTACATATTCAAATAAAGCTCTCTGGTCTGGTAGACAGTGAGGTTTTTAAAGGTCCCCAGGTGATTTTAATATACAGGCCTACACTATAGACTTTCAAGAGCAGAGATTCATCCATGAAGCCCCACTGCCATCATGGAGCCTGGCACAGAGTGGACGTTCAGCAAGTGTCAGTAGAATGAACGAGTAGCATGATGGCCAGCTTGCCACATCTTCTCAATACTCATTTAATCAACTTCAATCCATTTGATTATAAAAATGTGACATTCAGATTTAACTTATTCTTAATAAATTTACATTTATACAATTACATTTAATACCTGCACAGATAAATGCTTTTAAGTTTTCTCAAAATCTAGATATTGCTTCAGTGACTTCCTAGCTACACGTGTTTAGTTTTTTTGTTGTTATTGTTTTCTTTTCATTCTTTTGAGTCCAAAAGTTGTATTAGCTAGGAGGTTTTAACCTATAAATCTCTTAAAGGATGCCCAGAAACTAAAGCTGAAATTAGCAGTCTACTTGCTATTATAAGATTTCTTGTTGTCAGACTGCTATATATAATCCTATCGCTTCTAGCATTTGTTTTGTTGCTTTCCTCTTGAAGTATCTATGTGTTTACATTTAACCTTCTTGTGTTCTTTGTTTTTTAGTCACCCATCAATAATTATGCTTAGCTGTAAAAATGTACTCAGTACCTTGAAAGAAGAGAAAGCAAGAGACTAATGGAATTAAAAGCAATAGCTCTAGCAATTGTTGAAATTACCTTTTTCCCATTATGGCTGGTATTGCTTCTTTCCTGAATGCTAAAAAGAAGCTTATATATATTTATATATAATAAAATGTTTCTTTTCATATAATAAATAGTGTCAGAACACCATGCCTAGTAAAATAAGCTTTCTTATCCAAATGAAAAAGTTTATCAATTTATTCTCAGTAGGACTCCATTTCAGGATGGTCTCTAGACACCAAGCTGAAGGGTGGGTACAGTAAGCTGGTTCCAATCTTCTCTGCTAAGGAGAATCATGACTTCATTACCTCAGCTCTGGCCTAGAAATTGAAATGTTATTAGCTTAACAAAAAGAAAGAAAATACATTGCTAACATGTCTTTAACTGTTGGGGACCTCAGCAGTGCAAATGTACAGGCTATGTGTTTTTATTGCAATAAAAGTGGTTGATTCTGGACAACGTTACCATGTTTAATTTCTGTACAATGTTATTTTCTCTTAGGTAATCAGCTCTGATACTGGGTCTACTGTTTCCTTCTGGATGATAGACACTGGGCAGAAAATCAAACAGTTTACTGGTTGCCATGGCAATGCAGAAATCAGCACTATGGCCCTAGATGTAAATGAGACAAGGCTTTTGACTGGCAGCACAGATGGGACTGTAAAGGTGCGAACACAGTGATGCTTTTCTACCCAGATATGAGGGAGCTGAAATATTGTGTGAGGAGACATAGCTCTAGATATACTTGCTTTTGCCTTTTTTGGCCTTGCAAGAAGAGAAATGGGACAAGATAAGAGAGCTAAATAACCCAAACCATCTAATAAGGAAGCTGTTACGAAAATAAACCTCAGTGGAAAAATAAATACATGATTTTTCTGAATAAATTATTTAGAATAAAAACACAACTTGGCTTACTTCTTTCAAAAACATTTTCCTGAGCACTTAATAAAAGACTAGTTTGGGGAATAAGAGGCCTGAATATTTTTCATGTGAGTCATCTAATGCCTCTAAGTTTTCTTTTTCTCAGTTCATAAAATGAGAAATCAGGGCCACTAAGTAAATTTTAAAAATGGCATAAATGCAAGTTTTTCAGAAAATGAACATTTTGTATCCAGCCTATTTTGCAATTTGCACTCATGCTATGTAAGCGTGAGACAGCGAAGAAGGCAAGTGAAAAAAAAATCATAATCTTATTTATTATCCACCCTAACACATGGGGTTGCCATGAGTTGGGAGCTAACAAGAATAACAACCTAAAACTGTGTTTCTAGTGTTCTCATTTTGTAACTGTTATTAATTTCTTCTCAAAGAAAGGTGCTATTTTAGTTTACAAAAGTGACAAAATGTTCATGCAAAGCTAGATGCTTGCTATCTGAAATGATGTCCATCTCTGTTCCCCGAGCCTTGAGAGTGATGACAGTTTGGGGATGGCTTGTGACCTTGAGGCAACATAAGGCAATTTCCAGATAAGCACTGAGTGATTTTCAAATCTCTGCCACTACTGGGGTCAGAAGGGTATCCATCAGATGTACCTTCCAGGTGGGGTGTGTGAAGCATTCAGGCAGGCTGCAGTGGAGGGTGACTGAAAGCTAGCTGGACAGGTAGGTAGAACATCCTGGAAATTGAGAGTAAGTGTTCAGGGGGTCCAGGCTGGCAGCTGGCAGAGTTAGGGAGGTGCTATGGTAGACTGCAGTGAGAACCTCCGGAAATCAGCAGAGCTTAGCTTCTAAGAAGGTTAATGGAATGAAGTATGGACTTGGAACTTGGATTCAAGTAAAGTAATTTAGTTCTTAAGAAACTGGCAAGATGAAAGAAGGTTCTGGGAAATCCCAATCTCAATAGTTAAGGTGGAATAAAGCAAGAATAACTGGAAATGCAGTATTAGACAGTGGCTTAAGGAACAGCCAGTATCCCATTTATCAGGCCTGTGGTATGAGACTGGACTGAACAATGACAGAGTGGATTAGCATGCTTCTCTTTACTCTTATCTCAGAAAATAACTGATGCCAGGGTAAGGCATAACCTGTAGCTGCTTGTTAAATGGTCCCAGCTAATGGAATTGCTGGGATCTGTGAACGGTCAGATTATCTGTGGGTATTATTTTAGGCAGACTTCGTAGAGCCAGGTATAAAAGAAAACAAAGTGATATAGGTGAAGAATGTGCGTGCTCCTTGATGTCTCAGCTTGAGGCCTGGCTTCTTAAAGTTAATGTGAAGTTAGTAGCATAATCACTGCTTTTGAAGGTGCATTTGTCTTTATCACAACAGCACAAGATTCTGAAATCTGCACCCTCTGCTCAGGACACATAAATCAAGGTTGAGCTGCTCTGGCCATATTCTATCAAGAAGCAAGAATGAATGATATTTTCCAATCTCATTTACAATTTAAAATCCAAAATCAGTACTTAAGTAATCAAATGCTTAAAGTTATTGCCCTATTTATCATGGTTTTGAAGGGTCTGTTTTTAAATTAATAGTTTTGAATAATTAATATATGTATACAATGCAAATTTTGAAAGATAAAATAGTAATAACAGTCAAAAAAGTCTCTCCCACCCCCTTCCTGGCTCCTTCCTAGAGCATACGACTGTTACTGGTTTCCTGTGCATCATTTTAGAGATGTCTTTGAAAATCATTGGTTTCTCAAAGGCACCTGTTCTGAATTTTGCATCTTTTTTTTTTGTCTTGGATTTTTCTGTCTTGGACTTTGAGTCGTATCAGTGCATATAATAATAATATTAATCACAGCAACAAGAATAATAATGCTAACTAACTTTTATTGCATGCTTACTATGTGCCACGCACTGTTCTAAGCACTTTACACACACACAAACGCACACATCTATAAAGCTGGTATTATTATTATCCCAAAGAAGTCAAGCAACTTGCTCAAGTTTCCATCGCTGCTTGAGTTTTGACAGACTCTAGAAACCTGGAGATGACTCATTCTTCTTGATGGCTGCATTATATTCTACTTTATAGATATTCCATAATGTTGCTCAGTTCCTTCTTAATGACCATTTACGTTGATTCAGATCTTTAGCTTTTATAAACAATGCTGCAAGAATATCCTTGAATAAATGTCATGTCACATGTATGAGTGTATCTGTGGGATGATTTTCTAGAAGTTAAATTTTTGAGTCAAAGTGCCTATGCATTTTTAATTTGGTAGATAGTGCTAACTTGCCTTCCATGCATGATGCTCCGACAACGTTTAGTTTAATAAGATTTAGTTTTTAGTGTTAGTGATCTAATGGTGTCTGTCTCTCAAAGTAGACCCATCAGACTTAAGGAATCATCCCACTGCCTGAGAAGGTTAACTAGGTCCGGCGCCCACAATCAACAGGAGGTTTTGCAGGGAGAAGATAGGAAACCTAGTACATGATGACTATGCTTAAGGCCCTGTGTTAAATGCTTAATGCTCCAATCATCCCTGAGAAGTTAGATTCCTGTGTCACAAATAAGGAACTGTAAATGCACGGAGATTAAGTAAATAATGTAGTGCCACACAATGAGAAAAAGAATTAAGATTTCAACAGATTCCAAAATGTTGTTTTTTTCGTGATTTTATATTGCCTCAGCCTTTAGAAACATGTACTTTTTTATAGCCTTCGAATCAACTATTATTTTAAATGACTGATAGACTTCCAAGCACAGTAACAAATATAATGATTAAATATAAATGGTAAGAGGATTTTCTTTAATCATTACATATCTTAAATGAATCAACCTTGGTCCAGACTGTAAACACAAAGGTTTAAAATAATCCTGTTACATAGTATTGTTTTACTCATTGAATATTCTATCCCAAAGGCAACTTTAATTTTTTTTTCTTAAAGATATGGGACTTCAATGGATATTGTCACCACACACTAAATGTTGGGCAAGATGGAGTTGTGGATATTTCACAGATCCTGGTTCTTAAGAAGACTATACTGGTTACTGGCTGGGAAAGGTATGTTATGCTTCACACAAAACCGTAGGAAGTTAAAAGATTTTTTTTTTTTTTAAATTTGAATCAAAATCTAAAAGAAAAAGAAAATAGAAATAAATCTTGACTGATTCTGAGTTATTAATTTGCTGGTGACCTAAGAGAGTGAAACTTTAGTTGAAATTGACTGAATGCTAAGTGAATAAAATATTATAAGATCACATTGTTTAAGGGGTTTTGAGAAATATTATAGGGCTTTCTCTTGGGTTTGGGAATTTGTCTTTTTCTTTAACCACTCCATATAGAGATGTAATACCACTTCCTGAATATTACCTCCAAAAGTGTCCCAACTTTTATAGTCAATAAACTCTTAATGTGCCCATTACATTCCTCCAGCTGTAAGGCAAACTCATTCCTTCTTCTTTTGTTACTTATTTTAAATTGCAGCACAAGAGGGAAATAGCCCACTGACTTCTGTGTTAGTGTCTCTTTCATAACAGTGCAGAAAAGGGCCTTTCATGGCCTACTTACTGCTCTCAAGGAGTTAATCTTTCATTTCATTAAGAGGAAAATTACTTTGTTTTCCTTTTTTCCTGAAAGAACCAAGGGATCATAAACAGGGCCTTTTCTATGGCATTGTAGAAGCACTTGAAAAAGTGTGGTATGTTTTGAAAACATATTGTCTATAAATTGAACAGTTCACAAAATATATTTCTAACAAGCAATTTGCCTGACATTATTCACTATCAAATTATGAGCTTACTGGTTGGAAGCTGGAATTAAATCCGATTTTGTATCTAGAAAACTAGCAGTATACTTGGGAGTTTTTTATCAATCACAGAAAAGACTGCTTCTAACGCTTTTCTCAAATGTGTATATATAAGCTAACAAACATAGTACCACATGCAGCTGAGTTTTCAGGGATAGTTTGACTAAAAGGAAAGAAAGTACAGTCCAAATTCTTCTACCTGATCATAAGAACTAATTCTATCATCTTTGCCTTTGAAAGACAAGGCTTCTTCACAACCCTGGGGGCAATCATGATCCATTAGCAACTCAGAACCACTCCAACAGTCTATGGCCTAATGAGCTCTATAATTTGGCTGTGACAACAAATAAGTTTAATTTTCCAATATCATAGCAGGGTAGATTTGTAGTATCCACCTGATCCAATTTAAATTTTGAACGTAACAGAGAAGAATTTTAAAAATTACTCAGTGTAACTCAAAAGTTGGTGACACCATTTTCTTAATTAGATTTTAGATAAAATTTAGTTTAAATATACTTTAGAAATTAGTATAAAATATATGCTTTTTTGATTGTTTAAAGAGGAAATTTAAAAGATTAGATGTTACAGTCATCTCAAAATGTTTTAAAGGAGCATCTGATTTTCTGTGTCAGTGGGTGGTTACTTTCTATAAATCTTGAGGAGGAAGTTTTGGAAAGACTGGAATGAGAGTAGGAAAAGTTATCACTCCTTACATCCTCTCCCATCTTTTCCATCTTCCACCTGTTTGTCAGGACTTGGATCCCTTAGCTGGAATTAAAGTTTGAATTAATACATCCTCAGATATATTAGTTTACTTTTATATTGGCAGATTTAAAAATTATATTTCCTAAGTCAGAGTCTTTATGTTAGGGTAAGTTTTTCAGGGTCTAAGACAGAGTTCCTTTTACCAAGAGACATTTAATAAAAGGGCATCAGGGTTATAGTTGGGGAAGAAAGGACCCATTAAGCCAACTCCTTAATAGTTTAATGATTAGGGAAGAAATAGCTGGAAGAGTGAAAGTCAGTTTATCAATCTTTCTTTAAAACCCAGAGGGAGGCTTTGTTCAGTTTCTATCTACATGAAGAGATTGGTTTGATAATTTTATGCAGGCTGGAACAGAATTTACATATGCTAAATGAAGTACTAAATCTACCATCTTATTTTTTTTTTTTATTAGAAAGTTCTGGGGTTTAGAGTGATGTGTAGCATTAGATACTTTACATACACTATCTAATTTAATCCTTACCTTCATCTTGGAGGGTAAGTAATATATTACAGATACCTCAAATATCTATTTTCAGCTCTTATCTTTCTTCAAAGCTTACTTATCTATTTGCTTGCTAGACCTGTCTGACTGAAATTCCAAATTTAGTATGTTTTAAACAGAATTCATTATCTACTCCCGTCTCACAAACCTGCTTCTTCTCTTAGATTCAGAGCCTGAGTTAATGGACAGGAACTCAGACATCCACCTCGGCTCTCCCTTCTCATTCATTTTCAAAACCAAATAGTCACTAAGTCTTATCTATTTTATTTCCTAAATATTTCTAACCCTGTTCCCACTGCACCTACAACTGCATTATTCAGAGCATCATTTCTACCTGGATGAATGTCACAGCCTCCTAACTTGTCCTTTCTTCTAGTAGTGCCCACTCCTCACCCCTTACGTAGATTCTGCACACTTTAGCTACAATGATTTTCTTCTACAATGCATATTTCTTTATGTCACTTCTTTGCTTAAAACTTTTCAAGAGTATTTTCAAAATAAATCTAGATTCCCCTGACCTGGGCCTATTCTTTATTTTCATTTCACTCACTCTTGTGTAGAATTCTAAACTCGGTCAACAGCAACCTGCTCACAGACTGTTCCCATATAAGCCATACCGTTTCACACACTCATGCCTTACCCATGTCTCCTTGCCTAGAAATCCCTCTCTACACTTATTTTTCATCTGGCTGTCATTTATTCCTATTTCAAGACTCATTCACATATCACTTCCACCAGGATGTTGCCTTTAACTCCCAGGATGGAAATTCCACACCACCCCCCTGCCCTTTTTGTCTTTGTACTAACATCCTTTGCTCAGCAGTACACACACACACACACACACACACACACACACACACACACACGATGCTTATCAGATACTCAGTGATATTTGTTGAATGGCTTAATTAATGTTTGTTGAATATAGACAGGGAAACTGAGCATTAGAGAGATTAATTACCCAGGGTCACACTCCTAGTAACAGGCCAGCAGAGTAGATGTTCAAATCTATTCTGTCTTCACAATAAACCATAAAGCTAAGAATATCAACCCTATTTTACAAGGGAGGAAACTGTGGATTGGAGAAGTTGGGTAGCCTGGTCAAGGTTTCCAAGCGAGTAGGCTGTGAGTTAGGATTCTACGCAAACGTCCATGCTCTTCCCACCACCCTTAGGGTGACTGGTTACAAATGGAGTTATTAAATCATGGGAGGGCAACCATATTTTTTAAACAAACAATTTAATTGAGTGAGTTGGTTTTTTCCATCAAAATGAATGTATCAGTTTTACGCATATGAGGAAACATACAATAAAAAGAAATTATCAACTTAATAAAGCCTCAGTATTAGCTTTCCATTATTTTCCCCATTTCCTTCCCACAAATATCTCTAAACTGCAACTAGATGGAGAGCTCTCAATTAAGAACTAGGGTAGACTGAATGTGAATGGTCATGATCTTGCTCTACAGGCATCACATTCAACTGGGGAGGTCAAAATGGAAAATCCAGGAAATGGTGAATGCCGTTGTAAAATGGTCCTAAGTAAGACCTGAATAAGGGAGCCTGTGTTGGCTATTTAAGGTTAGGGTCATTTCATATTTAGAGAATATTTCTATCAGAAAAAGAGAAGCTCAAAATTAAGAACTGTTAATTGCCAATGAGTCAATTTCAACTCATGGTGACCCCATGTGTGTAGAGTAGAACTGCTCCATAAGTTTTTCAAGGCTTTGACCTTCTGGAAGCAGATTGCTAGGCCTGTCTTCCGAGGCACCTCTAGGTAGGTTCAAACTGCCAGCCTTTCTGCCAGTTTAGTGTTTAACCAAGCAACCCTGATAGTGCAGTGTTTAAGCACTCGGTTGCCAACCAAAAGGTCACCAGTTCGAACCCACCAGCCATTCTACAGGAGAAAGATGTAGCAGTCTGCTTCTGTAAAGATCTGCAGCCTTGGAAATTTTATGGGGCAGTTCTACTCTGCCCTATAGGGTCTCTATGAGTTGGTATTGATTCGATGGCAATAGGTTGGGTTGGTTGTTAGTACTTATCCATTTGTGCCATCCAGAGACTCCTATGAATTGACATAGTGTCTATTAAGAAAATATCTGGTTCAATGAGCTAACACAAATAGATATTTTTCCATTAAAAGTTAAGGCAAATGTTCGGCCATGTTTACACTGGTAAAATCAAGTGTATAGTTGATCAATTTATCTTTGCATTTGCTCAAAGTAGGCATGCCATATGTATGTATGTTGTTGTTATGTGTTGACAATTCTATTCTGACTCACAACGACCCCATGTGACAGAGTAGAACTGCTACATAAGTTTTCCTAGGCTGTAATCTTTATGGAAGCAGATCACCAGGTCTTTCTCCAGAGGAGCGGCTGGTGGGTTCAAACTGCCAACCTTTTAGTTAGCAGCCAAGTGCTTAACCACTGCACCACTAGGGCTCCTTAAATAGTTGCCGGTATAATTGATTTTTAAAAGTATTCTTTAAGTGAAATGAGATTAGGGATTTGAAGTTCCTCAGGAATATAACATCCATTACAAGATATTAAATTGTCAGTAATTGATTTACTAAGGGAATTTAATCCTAGATAACTCGGTTGGTTTCTATTATTAGGATAAGAATTGGAATGGAAATTTCCAAAGTTGTGACTTACTCTAGAGCAACCATGTTGGAGATCAAGTCGGTGCAGGTATGAAACTCACAAATAATCCTCACAACTAATTTTGTGATAGTTTCATCGTCCAAAAATTGACTCCTCAAATTTTAGGAAAAAGAATAAAAATAAACTGATTATATCTAACTCTTTCCCTGCCCTTAGGATACCTCTTTTAAGCCTAAAACACAACGAATCAGGCAAGAATGGGTATTGACATGTGTTGTTTGGACTAACAACACGTGAGCAACTAATCCCCAAGAGAGAAAATAGTTGATTTTATTCTCTCCGTGATAATTTCTACATGATGAACTTTGGTCAAAAAGTTATCTTCTTAGCTCATTCATCGTAGAAGAGAGGCTCTCCCCTCCCCCAAGCTTTATACGTAAATTAGTCTTATTCTCACATCATCTAAATTCTGAATTAGAGATGTGAGCATCTTCCCAAGATCACACAATGCCTCGATAGCAGTACTTTCAGGATTGCAAATGTGAGATGTGGAGTAGAAAAATGATTTAATAAACTCATTCAAGGGCTTGGGTTGGAAAAGAAAGTGTACTTCTGAAGCTTAGTCTCTGAATACCTTCTAGCATCACAGAATAGCTCCTGCAAGCAAGTCATTTATTTGAAATCCTATATTTTATCTTTAAAATTCAGATGATTTTTCATTCCATTGCATTAGTTCATCTTTGCTTATTTTAATATAAAATATTTTCCTCCAAACTCTTTGAGTAAAATTAACGCTTAGGATGGTACACCATATTTACCCTGTGGCTTTAAGTACTCCAAGTCAAATATTTAGTTGGGTGTGCATATCTTGTATTGAAAATCAAGGGCGGGAGAATAATGAGAAATAATTTTTAAAAAGTAGATATACTATTCAATCTTGAAAAACAGTCCCAAACATTTGAATTTTGTCATGTAGGAAATGGAAAAGTAGTAAATGCTCTTTTAATAGGGCATTGTCCTTATCTTTGATCATGCTGTTTCCTCTGTCTAGAGAGTGCCCTTCTCTTCTGAATCTTACCCATCCTTTATGGTACAGTTCAAATATTTCCACTTCCACTCAGCCTTATGTGATTTCTACACCTGGACTTGTCTAGCAATTGATTAGTACTTCTTTGGTACTTACTACTATTTACCTTGTATTTTAATCATTTCATGTCCATGTCTCTATCCCCTGCAGCACTAGGAACAGAACTTCTACATAGAAAACAAGATGCTTATAGAATGAATGCGTGGTCAGAGCCACAGAATGGAATGACTGATCTAGTGTAGAAAGAAGGATGTTCAAGAAGAAGGTAGACTGGAGGCAATGAAATTGGTTAGGAGGATGTTACCTTTGTTCAACCATGAGGTAGTGTCTTAGTTATCTAGTGCTGCTATAACAGAAATACCACAAGTGGATGGCTTTAACAAACAGAAATTTATTCTCTCACAGTTTAGGAGGCTAGAAGTCTGAATTCAGGGCGCCAGCTGTAGGGGAAGGCTTTCTTTGTCTGCTGTCTCTGAGGGAAATTCCTTGTGTGCTTTCCACATCTGTGGGCTCGGCATCCCTTGAAATCTCCATGTGTCTTAGCATCAATCTTCCTCTGGGTCTAGGTTCTCAGTGCAGGGAACCCAGGTCCAAAAGATGCGCGCTGCTCCTGGATCTTCTTTCTTGGTGGTACTGAGGTCCCCTTCACTCCGCTCACTTCTCTCTCCATTTATCTCTTGTAAGATAAAAGGTGATGCAGGCCACACCCCAGGGAAACTCCCCTTATATCAGGGCTGTGACCTAAACCTCATTAACATGACCTACTCCGGCCTCATTAACACAACGGACACCTCACTCCCAAATGGGACAATAATCATAGATATAGAGGCTGGGATTTACAACACATCACAAAATGGAGGATAACCACGCAATACTTGGAATCATGGCTTAGCCAAGCTGAAACATATTTTGAGGGGACACAATTCAATCCATGACAGGTAGTAACCACTGAATAAGAAGCTTGTGCTAGCTGTTTAAAATATGGGAGCAGTGAATGTACAACACATTGCAGAGGAGGGGACACATAAAACAACTGGGAGGCTAGAACACTGATCTATTAACGAAATTATGGGATTCAGGATGAAGGTCTGGTATGGAGGCAAGATGGCAAATTTGTATTTTTCACATGTTAAGATCTGTTGCTGATAGAAGCATTATGTGGAACTGTCAACTAGCAAGTGAAATTATACAACACTGGAAAAGGCTGTGGATGAAGATAAATTTTGAGCCATTTGAGTGGAAGTGAGATTGGACTTCATGGCCACATATGGGATCTCTGAGAGAACTAGTTGAGTAGAAAGAGAGAAGTGGAGGAGTAACAATAGGAAATGTCCATGTTTCAAAGAGTGAGAGAAAGATGGAGCAGGGAGGATAGAGAATAGGGAATGGGAGATCAGGGAGGCAGGAAGAGAACCAGGACATCCTGGAAACAGAAAAAGTGTTTCAAGAAGGAGGAAAGACCTAGTCCCCTCAGAGTCTGAGGAGAAGTAACAGTGGTAGACACCTTCGGAGGGGTGAGGATAGAAGCAAAATTGCAGAGAGTGAAGAGAGAATGAGGATGAAGTTACCAAACTCGTGGTTATATACTGCTCTTTTGAGATTTGTGTAGCTGTAGAAGGAGCGAGAGACTCAGCATAGGCTGGTAACCAGAGCTCAAATCATCATGAGAACAAGGTGGTATTGATGCCCCCAGGCATTTCATTCTCTTTCCATTCTGTCTTGTCACCAAATTGACCATCACTTCCCCAAGATACTGACCTTTTAAAAATTATTCTTTCTGTTCAAAACATATCTGTCCTATATCCCATTCCTTTGGAGCATCATGTTTCAAGTGTGTTCCAACAAATGGTAGATCTGCAAGATGCTGTCTAAGAAAGAACGCTGTGGTCAAGAAAGACTGGGAAATGCTACAGGGAACATTATATGTTAAATATCCTAAGAAGTTCTGATGAAAAGAAACCTTATTAACTTTGTTTAAGGTATCAAACATTATTTGTTCATAGAAATGCCTATTTTAAAATCATAAAACTCTTAGTGGTTCCATGATACCCATCTAGGGAAACTGTGCTTTAGAGTCTTTGTAATAGATAACTAATCCTATAAATTAATATATGTTTGGTGTTAATGGTTTTGAAAGGGTGATTAACCTTCTGATGTTAGTATTCATAATTTACCAGAGAATTCAATGAGATAATGCAAAAGAAATTCAGTGTGGGAATATCAGTTATTATGGGTGACAGGTAGGGATACAATTTTGGTCTTTCAGACCTTTCAAATCACACCACCCAAGTGGATGATGGCTACTCAATATCTGTATCACTTTTGGAACAATAGCTAAGTCCTATATCTTTTTATTAGGACTATTACTGTGTTTCGACCCCAGAACTTCAATCAATTTTTCATCCAGCCTGAAGAATGGAAAGGAGGAGTACAGCACCGTGATGACATCCTATGTGTTGCATTTTTACCTCCACAAACTCTGGCTACAGGTCAATTGAACATTTGCTTGATAATCAGTGCTGAAAGTTGGGACTCACTCAAAAACAAACAAACAAGCAAACTAACAAAAAGCCTTTTGTCAACTGCAAAATGAATAGGTTCTTGAAGAAACAGGTCTTGCACTTAGAGCGACTCTTGGTCCTTATTTCTATGGGGATGCATTAGTGGTTATGACCATCAGCTTAGGAGCCTGGCTATCTGGCTTCAGAGCCTGGTTCCACCACTTGCCACTGCATGATATTGAGCAAGTTATTTCAGCTCTAAATCAGCTAATTATGATATATCTATACCTTGGTTTATAGTGAAGCTACATAAAATCTTCATAGTGCTTGGCATGCAGTAAGGTCATCAGTAAATATTAGCTTTTATTTTTATTGTCCTTTTTTCCAGAGGCAGCATTAGGACTGTGGCACTCAAGCTGTTTTGTAATGGGAACATATTAACCCTTTGGCATAGTTTAGCCTAAGTTATGTTGGTTAGTAAGGAGTCTTGGTGGCTCAGTGGTTAAGTGTTTGGCTCTTAACCAAAAGGTCGGTGGTTTGAACTCACCAGCCGCTTGCAGGACAAAGATGTGGCAGTCTGCTTCCGTAAGATTTACAACCTTTGAAACCTTATGGAGCAGTTCTACTCTGGCCTATAGGTCAGAATTGACTCAACCGCGATGGGTTTGGTTTTGGTTTGGTTTAACGTTCGTTAAAGACTTGACTTACAAAATGTCTATAAATGCAAGCTCTTAAACGGGTCTACAGACTTGCTTTGATGTGACATAGTAAAGAGAATAAGAAAACATTGTATCATTTCCAGTCAAATAAGGGGATTTATTACAAAGACAGGTTACACCATGAAAGTATCAAATCCATGTTCTGATGGCCTAATTTTTTTTTATAGAACCAAAAATGGCATCAATTAAGAGTAATGAAAACTTATAGGAAAAGAGCCAGGATATCTATGAACTATGAATTGATACAATATGAGGTTTACCGATCTATCTACATTTAAAATCCCACTGTTTTTAGGACTTACTTGATTACCTTCTGATAGGGCCACTCTGCAGCTGAGTTTGCTTTTATATCTATATAGGTACTGGAAGTCCACCCTTGCAAAGAGTATCACATAATGAAAAGTGATGGAAACAGTGAAGTATAAGGCTGCATGTTGTTATTGTGAAAGTGTCATAAAATACTATTACAGTATTGTGGTTGTAGAATTTACTGCATCTTACCCATCCTTCCAGTTGGATGATGAGTCAGTACTGGTGAATAGAATATCTCTTCATTCATTCTCATCCCATCAGTCGTATGTGAAAATGTTTGGTCAGGCACCTTGCAAGTAAACCATTTGAAAATTCTAGGAGAAGATGGATACCTCCTTGGACAGATGAAATCCATCCGTTCGGCCAATCTGTGAGTTACATAGGTTGATCTTTCCAGGACAATCCACAGAGCTATAGAGCTTAGGATGTATTTCTCTCTCCTCTCACCAAATTCCAAGGAAGACACTATATCTCTTCTCTTCTGCTCTTCAGTTGATATGGACTCTCTGCTCAGTAGGGAGCTGTCTCACCGAGCTGCGAAGAGGAACAGTCTGGACATTCATTGCTCCTCTCCAGGACAGGCTTGGCCAGACTTAGCTTCAGTCCTTGGACTTTTCTCTGTGTCTCTGTGGGGAGCAGTAGAGAAGGACTTCCTGTAGGGAAAATTTTAGGATTGGAGAAAGCAATATTCAATAAAAAATACAGGAGGGAGGTAATGAAGAGAACACATGCACAAACATATCCACTCTCACTCTCTCTCTCTCTCTCTCTCTCTCTCACACACACACACACACACACACACACACACACACACACACACACACAGAGATGTGGGGAACAGAAACCTTTGGTTTGACCTAGGAGGACTTGAATTGCTTGTCCTCGCTCAATAATAACAAGTAATGATAATAACACTATTAACACTTTTTCAGTACTTACAATATACTATATATATATATATATATATATATATATATACAATATACTATTCTAAGTACTTTGCAATCCTCGCAGCAAATCTTTGAGATAAATACAATTATCAACTCAGTTTTATAGATGAGGAAATTGAGGCATCAAGAAGACTTAAATAACTTGCCCAAGGTGACACAGCTTGTAGATGGCATAACCAGGACTCAAATTGCAGGTGTTTAACTCCAAAGCCATTACTCTGAATGCCTTACTATGATAAAATAAAATGATATAACAGATGTTTCTTCCACACCAACTACACAGGTATGTTGTGAGGATCAGATGAGATACTGTACGTGAAAGTCATTTTAAGCTGTGAAGTTTAATAAAAATATTAACTATCATTATTTATTCCTGTCTCCAAAAACATATTGAGATACCAGCTTCTTCTAACGCTGTTGTTCATATTTTCTTTCTAATTTTCTGACAATTTATCTTCTCCATGCTGGTTTATGTAGGAAGTTATGATGGAGAAATTGTTCTGTGGAACAACAGCACGGAAAATGCTCATCATGCCCTTCACCCTGATTACCAGAGGCTGCTAAAATCCAAATTGGGTGAGTGCAAGTCTGAAATGAAAATAATGGGGCTGAGTCAAGACACAGTAGGTCTTGTTGTTTATGCATGTATCTGATGAAGCTTGCCTTTAAATTATAGATGATTGGCTGTAAGCACAAGGGATTAGTGATATCGTTGTCTTGTCAAAGTGACTAAAAAGAACCTTGAGATTTTCTTGGCTTAGCAAATTCTCCAAGGTGTGCTGTTTTTTCTTTTTATGTCACATCAGCATTTCTGAATTACTGACAGCAGAGAGCAGGCCTTTCATTTTTATCCAGTTTAGTTTTTGCAAATAAACCTTGCCAAATTGCCTTTGACTGAACCTCGGGTACCCCTTGGTAGGAAAACACGAACACATACTCACTTAATAGGCTGCTCAGGCTCAATCTAGAGCTTGTATTAAATATTATGCCACCTGGAAATCTTAAATTATTCCTTGCTTTAGAAACCTGTGAGGAGCATTAGATGGAAGTATACTGTATTTTATGGGAGTTTAGCAGAGCACATGAATATTTTATACTTAAGCAAAATGTCTTGACAATTGCCTTTCACATTTTGTTTTAGCTTCAGGTAGGTTTTTCCTTAGACTAATTTATTTGGGTAATGAATATATCATTTCTCATGGCCCAGTGAAATTCTGTTGTCTCAATTGTATAAACTCACAGAGGCTGGACTGGACCTTAGGAAAGGACTGATCCTCAGATACAGTTTTTCCTGGACAGCTGAGGAAGTAATATGTAAAGAGTAAGAAAACCAACTTAAGAGATTTAGGGATTACCTGGCTGCAGACACAAAGCTCTGACCTGCTTTGTGAACAAAGAGCCACCCATTAGCGTTCAGCTAAACCTTCCATAGCATGGAGTCACGTGGGATCATCAACTATCTTGACAGCAACTTACAACAATCAAAAATCTTCAGTAGAGAGGGTGGAATTCTGTGTCTTCCTTTACATTGGCCTCCAGGAGAGCGCCATCTCGCTCTTAAACAAACCTAATTGTGGCTACCATTAAATACACAGAAAAATAGATTAGAGGGAAAGGTAGATAATATTAAATTTCTAAAACAAGCAAGAAGACATTCTATAGATTTCTTGCTTTCAAATTTTAAAAATATCTCTATAGATTTTTTACATAACTATGTAAGTGCATTCATGGACTCTGAGAAGGCTCTCCCCATTGTTCATTAGTGTGACCTGGAGATGATATCATGAGATAATTTGATGTCCTCTCCAGGGTAACTCACTAACAAATAGTATTGCTAAAAAATGATCATTTTAATATATTTAAATAGTTATTATGTCTCATGTTCATTAAAATATTTGTAGGATTAATATTAATGATGAATAAGCTGAAAATGCCATGATATTAGAATTGCATTTGTCTTGAGCACATCAGGATTTCTAAGATGTTAGCAGTGACTACAAAATGAAGTTCCTATTAATTCATATCAAGGGAAATCATGTGAATGGAATATGCAAAATGAAAATGAAATCAAATGATCCTTCAGGATGGGGTTGAGGAAATGAACAGAATACTACAGAGGCTTGATGGATATTGTTGATTGGAAATCTATTATGAAACTTGATGGAGTCATCCAAGAAAGTGATGGAGGCAGACTTGCTGTTTTTAATAGGCAATAGCTTGAAAAGCAGATGTTTCTCATCATTAAGACACTTGGCTTTGTCTCCCGCACAGATGCAGAGCCTCATAAGCTTCTCAGTGCTGACAGGAACAGCTCCCCCACCCCCACTGCAGACCAGGCCACCCTCAGAGCCTACCCATCTGAGGTTGACACTGAGGGCAATAATGCTGTTACGAGGCTTTGCTTGCTTGAAGCAAGAAAAAACATTGCAGTGACAGGTAAAATATATATTTATATTTTGATTGTAGACTGCTTTGATATAGTGTAAAATATTGGAAAAGGGAGCAATAAAGAAAGTTCAATATACTTCTCTCTAGGTCTTGTAGAGTTTGACATAACTTCTACTTAATAGTTAGTACTGGGTCATGGGAGGCCAAGGCCAGAGGCTGGGGATGAAAAGGTGGGGCAGGATAGGAGTCAGACTAAATTTTACTACCGGTTTGTACAGTGCTGCATATGTGAAAATTAAACTAAAAATAAACCAACCCCTTGCCATCTAGTTGATTCTGAGCATACAGGACAGAGTAGAACTGCCCCATAGGGTTTCCAAGGCTATCATCTTTATGGAAGCAGATTGCCACATCTTTCTTCCGCAGAGTGGCTTGTGGGTTTGAATTGCCCACGTTTTGGTTAGAAGCTGAGTGCTTAACCACTGTGCCACAAATCTGGCAAACTATTGACATGGGCAGCAATTGGAGTTGGTGTCCCAGCCATGGCATGAAGAGGTTTCAGTAGGGCAGAGGGCATAGAGAGAAATGGACTCCTGATATACAAGGCAGAAGAGTAGAGTCTGAGATTGATGGTACAGGCACCTGGTGTCAAATGAGCTAAGAGAAAATGGTGAGGAGCTTAGGGATGGAGCAATAGCATACTTTGAGATAACTGCTGATCCCAGGACAAGAGTTGCCTGCTCTCTGTCTTGGTACTTTGTATGTGTGTGCGTGTGTGTGTGTGTACTTTCCAGAAAAAGTCAGGGTCCTGGTTAGATCTTCTGCTGATGCATGTGTTGACATTGGTGCTGCTGTATGCTTTACTGTAGTTACCTAATATTATATAGATAAAATAAGCAATTTCTTTATTTCCCCTTTGTTCTCATTACCTGTCTTAGCATTATGTTGATTCAGTCTACATCTTCGCAAAATAAAAAAACTCTTTTGAGAATAATGCATATTTTTTTAGCTTTCATCTAAAATAATTGTATTTGAGAGTCTTTTTAAAAAAAATGTAGAATCTAGTCATGTATATGTGTTATATGCTTGAAACAAGAAATAAACATATCTGAACTGTGTTTTCTATAGTCGTTCTCCCAAAGCTGTTTTTCAGATGGAAACCGCATTATTTTCACATAAAAATTTTAAGCATTAAGAACCAGTAAATGTATATACCATCATAGAGTTTTAGAAACATTGTGGGATATTTAGATAGACTTTAAAATGGTTAGATTTTAAAACTTTCTATATTCTAGAACTCACTTATTCTCATAATATGAACTATTATCCTGAAATTGCTCTATTTTTCTCAATACTAATTCTTAATGTTATCAGTATTCCAAAATTGTTTCCACTGAAGTGGCTATACGCCATTATTTCTACCTTAAATAGATATGATTGTTAATCAGCAGTACATTTGTGAAGCAAATTGAAAGTCATCTACAGATTTATCAAATAATAATAAGAACTTTGCCACAGGATAATCATTTAGGTAAAATGCTCTACAAAGCATATAGAAATTGAGAATGAAAAGGTTAGTTCTAGACCTATGAACAACAAAAAAAGGGGGGGTTCTATAGGGCTTACAATGAATTCTTGATAAAAAAAATTTTAAAGACAAGCTCTAAGCATGCTGAACTCTAAGCATGCTGCTATATAGAGAAATAAAAATCAATAGCCAGGCTGCTATAACTATATCTATCCAAATCTATGCAAGAGATGTTTCACTTCCTTGGTGTATATGTCCAACGGATTATTAAAGGAGATGAGTTTTATGTAACTAGAATATTATCAGAATGTTGAAATTAATGTTTAATAAGTTTATTTGAAGAAACAAATGAATTCTATCTAACTTTATAAAGCCAAATAGCATCTGAATAATGAATGAAGGAAAGGGAATGAATCTAAATTCAATAGAACATTTTACATTTCCTATGCCATTTAATACACACCACAACCCAGTGATGTTATCAGAGGGTTATCTCCATTCTATATTTCAGAGAATTGAAGTGACTGACTGACTTGAGAATCGATTGTGGATATGCCCAACTCTTCAATGCCTATACACTTTCCTTAGGGCAAGATACTGAAGATGTTGTTTCTGGTATTTGTTACAGTTGTCTAATGAGATTTTTTATTTACATGTTAGAAGGAGCTAACCTTGTATCATGTGGAGGATCTGGTTATGTCAGATTCTGGGATACATTTAAGAAGCAACTTCTGGCTGAATTTTTGGCTCATAGTGGAGCTGGATCCATTATTATGTCTATTGATAAATTGAATCAATACCTTGTCACAGGAGATCTTGATGGATGGGTCAAAGTCTGGAATATAGAGGTAAATATAAATTTTCTCACATAATCTTTATTACTTTTGATTGCCTTTGTTGCAGATAACTATGAGTTAGGAAGGTCATGTCTGTTTCTTGAATAAAGGAAGAAATGTTCAGTTTGAATATTTTAAAGAAAGCATTCACATGTAATGACCAGAGACATAAATAATTTATGGGGAAAAACAGATTTTTTTTTCTCAATATTGAAAACCTTCTGTTAATATATAACCAAGCCAATCACTTAAATTAGGAATGTAGTATCATCAGTAAGGTACTACAGCATTGTTTGAACATAAATTAATAAGATATATCTTATCTGAAATAAGACCATAAACATAATTTTAATGAGTACTGGCTTTCATCTGACATTATTTTATCCTGAGTTCGAGACTTTTGTGTCACGGATTATCAGCTCAATTTTCTAATAATATAAAACTGTATAATATATGACTGACTATATATGGTTATAGGAGCCCTGGTGGCACAGTGGTTTAGCACTCAGCTGCCAACCAAAAGGTCAACGGTTGGAACCCACCAGCTGCTCTGCAGGAGAAAGATGTGGCAGTCTGCTTCTGTAAAGATGACAGCCTTGGAAACGCTATGGAGCAGTTCTGTTCTCTCCTACAGGGTCTCTATGAGTTGAAATCGACTCAAAGGAAATGAGTTCTTTTTAATACATGGTTAAGTTCATCTCAATTAAATAATTGACTTCAGTGTACATTTTTTTTCATTCTCCCTCTCCCTTTTCTTTCCACACTTATGTCAGTGGAATTGGTTAGAAACTTTTTTTTTCTAACTCTTGTTACCATTTTTACCTTTGTTGTCATGAACTTTTCTTTTGCATTTGGATCAGAGGATACTGTTCCCAAGTGTACCTTTTTCTCATTTCCTTATCAGACTCTAAAAAAAAAAACAAGTGCTATGCCACAGTAACTATTTAATATTTGGATTTCTTTTACAATTCTGGTATTTGTTTTCATTCAGGACTACTGCCTTAATTCCAGTGAGAACAAAGTCACACAGCCCCCTCCTCTGATCAGATCTTTTCAACCTCATGAAGACCGGATAAGTTGCTTAGAGATGTGTGAGCTGTGGGGCCGATCACTGATCATTTCCTCCTCAGCAGATTGCAGCATTTCTGTGACTGATGTTTGCTCTTCTCCTATTTGGAGCTTTGGTCAGGTAGAAATATTGCTTCTTTATTATTCCAGTATTTACTTGATATGGAGTACGAACTTGGGTTTATTTCCATGTGAATCTTGTCGGCTGTTAAATGCTCATTAGTCATCAACTGAACATTTCTGAACAGGTTCCATTTCTGAATCTGTAGCTCCAGGCATCTCTTGTCCTTTGTACCATTAGCCATGCAGTTCCATCAAGCAGAAGACACCAGAGACATGGAAAGACGGTGGCTCTGTGCAGCTCAAAATATTCCGAGACTTCTGAGAAAAAGATATTAATTCTCGCAGTTACAAAATTTAGTAAAATTACAATGTGGATAAAATTACCGTGTTATTATTAAACAAATATATGACTATGAATGTCAAATAATAATCGAGCTAATAAACAAATATAGAAAATTTTATAAAGACCAAACCTTCCTACTTATCAGGTCTACCTTGCCAAAATAATAATACCTAACATTTGCTGAGTTTTTCCTGTGTGCCTGGAACCCTGTTCTAAGGTCTTTACATGGATTATTTATCACAATTGCCCCATGAGTGAGGAACTCTTATTATTCTCATTTTACAGATGAGAAAACAGAAGCAGAGAGAGTTTGGGTAAATTGTCTGAGCTCGCAGAAGCTGGTAAATGGTAGAGTTTAGTTTTTAACTCAGGCTAGCTCACTTCAAAACTTGTGCTTTTAACTCCCTTCTCTCATAAAGCTTAGCTCTGATTTACAGCTGCCTATGAAATAAAATAGAAGTGGGGGGCATTGAAGAAAAGAAGTGTTCATTGTCTCACATTTCTATTCTTTTTTCCTTTTGTTTTCATGGGAACATTAACCTTGCTACCTTTGTGCTTTTGGAGACAAAATGTGTCTGATCAGTTTCAGCAAGTGCTATTCCAGATGTGGCAGTATGAAGTTAAGGCTAAAGCCACAATTTCTGTCTGGGCAGCTGGCTTGGTTCTATTCGCTAGGCTCAGGTGCCGTTCATCCTGTGATAACACACCTCTTCTCTTAGTGTTGGGAGACAAGGTCTGTTGTTGCTCTATATGTGAAGTCACTCTGATGATGTCTACTTTTGTTGAAAGAATTCTATACATCCCTTTAGAATGTATAGAATGTATAGAGGAGGATGGAAAACAGATGAAACATCAGGGGGCGGGAACCCATGTTTGGCCGGGCAACACATGTATCTTGATATAACACTCAAAATCTTCATCAGTTACTTGTACTATATAAATAAGCCAAGTGCTAGACTTTGTCAGGAAAAACAGCAGCTCAGTGGGATATCAAATGGTGTGTGGGTATATGTTGGTGGGTGAGGCAGGGTGAGACATGGCTGGCATTCTGATAAAAAAAAGCTAGAAGGCTCCTTCTGGTAGTTGAAGAAGCTGATGCAATGCTGACATTGCTCCAATGCAACAAGAACTCTGGTGAGATGAAGTCGAGATTTGAATGACAAGTAAAGAAACAAAGTGTCATCAAGTAGGTGGTATCTGGAGTATAAAAATTCCCTGACATGTTGTTGAAGTAAGAAATAAGACCACTTTATGTGCCGGTGTCATATAAACTATGCCCATCAGACACAACGTGAGGCTAAATTTTAATTATAAATATGTTTTGGCAAAATTGTTCATTTTTATGCTTTTGATGAGCCTAGGAAAATTGAAAGTTGTTAAAAATGAAGTGGAATATGTAGAGATCAATATCCTAGACATTAGTGAGCTGAAATGGACTAGTATTGGCCATTTTGAATTGGACAATCATATGGTCTACTATGCCAGAAATGACAAATGGAAGAGGAATGTCGTCTCATTTATTATTAAAAAGAACTTTGCAAGATCTGTCCTGAATTACAGCACTGTCAGTGATAGGATAATATCCATACACCCACAAGGAAGAACAGTTAATATGACTGTTCTTCAAATTTACGCACCACCCACTAAGGCCAAAGATGAAGAAACTGAAGATTTTTACCAACTTCTGAAGTCAAATTGATCAAACATGCAATCAAGATGCATTGATAATTACTAGTGATTGGAATGTGAAAGCTGGATACAAAGAAGAAGGACCAGTAGTTGGAAAATATGGCCTTGGTGATAGAAACAATGCCAGAGATCACATGACAGAAATTTACAAGACCAAGGACTTTTTCATTACAAATACCTTTTTTCAACAACATAAATGGCAACTGGATCTCATCCTATGGAATACACAGAAATCAAATTAACTACATCTGTGGATAGAGCTGATGGAGAAGCTCAATATCATCAGTCAGAACAAGGCCAGGGGCCAGGTGCAGAACAGACCAGCAATTGCTCTTATGCAAGTTCAAGTTGAAGCTGAAGAAAATTAAAACAAGTCCATGAGAGCCAAAGTACAACCTTGAGTATACCCCACATGAATTTAGAGATCATCTCAGAAATAGATTTGACGCAGACGCTAATGACTGAAGACCAGATGAGTTGTGGAATGACGTCAAAGACATCATACATGAAGAACGCAAAAGTCCTTTAAAAGACAAGAAAGAAAGAGAAGACTAAAATGGATGTCAGAAGAGACTTTGAAACTTGCCCTTGAATGTAGAGTAGCTAAAGGGAACAGGAGAAACGATGAAGTAAAAGAACTGAACAGAAGATTTCAAAGGGCAGCTTGAGAAGACAAAGTAAAGTATTATAATTAAACGTGCAAAGACCTGCAGTTATTAAACCAAAAGGGAAGAATATTCTCAACATTTCTCAGGCTGAAAGAACTGAAGAGAAAATTCAAGCCTGTAGGTGCAATATTGAAGGATTCTATGGGCAAAATATTGAAGGACACAGGAAGCATCAAAAGAAGATGAAAGGAATACATAGAGTCACTGTACCAAAAATAATTGGTCAATGCTCAGCCATTTCAGGAGATAACATATTATCAAGAATCAAAGGTATTGAAGGAAGAAATCCAAGTAGCAGGCATTGGTGAAAAACAAGGCTCCAGGAATTGATGGAATACCAATTGGTATGTTTCAACAAACGATGCAATGCTGGAAGCGCTCACTCGTCTATGACAAGAAATTTAGGAGAGAGCTACCTGGCCAACTGACTAGAATAGATCCATATTTGTGCCCATTCGAAAGAAAGGTGATCCAACAGAACGCAGAAATTATTGAACATTATCATTAACATCACACAGAAGTAAAATTTTACTAAAAATAGTTAAAAAATGGTAGCAGCAGTATGTCAAAAGGGAACTGCCAGAAATTCAAGCTGGATCCAGAAAAGGACGTGGAATGAAGCATATTGTTACTGATATCAGATAGATCTTGGCTGAAAGCAGAGAATACCAGAAAGATGTTTACCTGAGTTTTATTGACTGTGCAAAGGCATTGAACTGTATGGATCATAACAAATTATGGATATGATTTCAAAGAATGGGAATTCCAGAACACTTAATTGTGCTCATGAGGAACCTGAGCACAGTTTCATTTGAGGCAGTCGTTCAAACAGAACAAGGGGGTACTTTATGGTTTAAAATCAGGAAAGGTGTGCATCAGGGTTGTATTCTTTCACCATACTTATTAAATATGTATGCTGAGCAGATAATTTGAGAAGCTGAACTATATGAAGAAGAACATGACATCGGGATTGGAAGAAGAGTCATTAACAACCTCCGACATGCAGATGACATAACCTGCTTGCTGAAAGCAAAGAGGCCTGGTGAGATCAGACCACAGCCTTCAGTATGGATTACACCTCAACATAAGAAGACAAAGCTCCTCACAACTGGACCAATGAGCAACATCACGATAAACAGAGAAAAGATTGAAGTTGTTGAGGATTTCATTTTACTTGGATCCACAATGAATGCTTATGGAAGCAGTCAAGAAATCAAATGACATATTACATTGGACAAATTTGCTGCAAAAGACCTCTTTAAAGTATTAAAAAGCAAAGATGTCACCTTGAGGACTAAGGGGTTCCTGAACCAATCCGTGATATTTTCAATTTCCTCATATGCATGTGAAAGCTGGACAATGAATAAGGAAGACTGAAGAAAAATTGATGCCTTTAAATTATTGTGTTGGTGAAGAATATTGAATATACCATGGGCTGCCAGATGAATGAACATCAAATCTGTCTTGGAAGAAGTACAGCCAGAATGCTCCTTAGAAGCTTGAATGGCAAGATTTCATCTCACATACTTTGGACATGTTATTAGGAGGGACCAGTCCTTGGAGAAGGACATCATGCTCATAAAGTAAAGGGTCAGCAAAAAAGAGGAAAACCCTCAAGGAAATGGACTGACACAGTGACCATAGCAATGGGCTCAAACACAGCAATGATTGTGAGGATGGCACAGGACTGAGCAGTGTTTCATTCTGTTGTACATAGGGTCACTATGAGTCGAACCAACTCAACAGTGCCTAGCCACAGCCTGCTTTTGATATTTTTCATTAGTTGTTTTTGTAAAGTCTCTCTCTCTTTCTTTGAAGGACTTCAACCCCAAAAAGTTGGCATGAAAATAGTTTTTTTTCCCTTCCTTTTAAAGACAGGAAAAGATCCACCAGATTTGGGCAGTTTTAAAAACTAAAGGCTGGGCAAAGCTGGGGACAGCTGGGTTTTCTAGTCCCTTCTGCTTGAACCTTTTTTTAAAGCATTCACTTTTACCAAGCTGCCTTCAATATGGGTGTGAGACAGAGGGAAAGAGAGCAGGAAGGAGGGAAAGTTATAGGAGAGAAGAGAAGAGAATAAATTATCAGATAGCTGAAAGCAGCAGTGAATGTCCTTCTCATGGTGTGTATGAAGTGACACCCTTTCACAGAAAGACTGGCAAGTTCCAGGAAACAGAAATATGTAAATAGGACAGGGAAGGTGTCCAATTAGTAAATATAACTAGAATCAGAATGAGTTTTATTGAACAACTTTGATTTGTACCTTAGTACAAATTTGTATCTTTGTACTCCTGCCCTGTATTTGAATGATTCGACTTTTAGTCTAGCAGTTATAAAAAACAGGGAAAAGAGAAAAATCAGGATAAAAAGCAGTAACGTATTTTAATTTTCTAAGTTAATTTAATTTTCCAATTGCATGAAGTCTGTTTAAAGTATTTAAAATTTAATCTAATGTGATTCCATTATTTTATGAAAGAAGTTTTATTTTCAAAAGAACTGTGAAGCACTTTTATAACATAGCTATTGATCTTAGGCTGGGTTCCAGTTAGATTTTTAAAATTAAGTGCTGTAGTGTGTCTATTTCTAGAGTTAGAGAAATAGGGCTGGGATTGAGTTATCCATAGACACACATTTATCCCAGAAAACTGTCAGATGTTTGTGGGATAAAAAGAAATTAGATGAAACCTGCACTATCTGGCCCCTATTAAAGCACTAACCACTTTTGTGTTGAGTAGAGCTTGAGTCCTGGCAGCTCCACTCATCCTCGTCTGATTGGTATGATGGCCAGTGCCTTTGTGCCTATTTACCCAGTTTTTAAAATTTGATTTAGTTGACCACATTTAAACATCAAGAGATTTTACAAAAAGATCCATATTTCTGACTTCTCTTGAAAAAGAACATACGCCATTCCCATATAGTAACTATGGCCCCCTTTACATTAAATAGGTTCTCTCTAGTTCACTGCAGTTCCCCCTTTTGCCTTTTGCCTGTCAACTCTGATGCTGAATTTCATTTGCTATATATCATCTTATATGAAGCCCAATTCACTCATCTACACTATCTGGCCCTGTAGGCATTTTACTTTGCAAACTCTGATGGAAAGGCTGATCAGTTTGTAGGCCAGTTAAATATCCCTGGGACATCCAATGTTCATATCACACAGGCTATGTTCTTGGGCCCCGATGGCTCAGTGGTTAAGCGCCCAGCTGCTAACTGAAAAGTCACTGGTCCAAACCCACCAGCCACTCCATGGGGGAAAAGACCTGGTGATCTATTCCTGTAAAGATTTCAGCCTACAAAACCCTGTGGAGAAGTTCTACTCTGTGCTATAGTGTCACAATGAGTCAGAACTGACTGCACAGCACACAACAACAACAAAATGTTCTCAGGTGCATTCCTGTGTGACCAATGTGAATTGATACAACACAAGGAAATGGGTTCTCTATTTAAAACATAAAATAGATTATCAATGGTGAGCTTTTGTTAGATGGATGCATATTAAGAATTGTAGCCAAGATACATGAAAGTGATCATATAACATATATTTTCTGGAAAAGATGCTAAATGTTTGGACTGGCTTTTGAAGATGAATGTTTCTTTTTGATTTTAGGAGGTGAGATGCAAAGAAAATAGTTGTAGGAAAAATTCACTCTGCCAATTTTTCGATATGTTTCTTTTTCTTTTCAGTAAACATACATCTTGCCATTCAGGATTTTAAAGTGAAGTGGTAAATTTTTTTTGCAGTACGTTATTACCTCTTCAGAGAATTTTTCAGTCTTTTATGTCTCTTATCACCTTCTACATTTACTAAAGTTAAATGTATAGGTCCCTGAAAGGCGGAAGGTCTTTGAGACCAGGAATTATATCTTATTCATTTTTTGTGTCCTCAGGATTTCAATTAGTAGACTACACAAAGTAGACACTTAATGAGTATTTGATGAAAAGTAAAACAGATCTCTTTGTTTCTTTTTCAGGCAAAGCACTGGCAAATTGAAAATTGTATTTCCCTTCCAAAAAGAGATACTACCTTAATGGAAAGTGAAATTCAGGAGAAAAGCATAAGGACAATTCCTTTACTTTCTAAGGAAGAATTATGTTTAGACCCAATAGAACATTCTCTACTCGATAAGAAAAACAAAGAAGACTCAACAGACAAGTAAGTACTTTTAAATTTTACTCAGATGACAACTGAAGTCTTCCTAGTCTATAAGATTGAGGTAAGATTGACTCAAACTCCCAACTATGCTCTGTGGAATGTACAGACTGGTCATTTAAGAATGCTTGAACTAGGAGTTCCAGCAAGATGGCGCTCTAGGCAGAAGCACCATGCCGTCCCTCCACAGCAAAGATCCGAAAAACTAAGCCAAACAGAGAATGCAACAATCCTGAAACC